ATCATTCCACAGAATATTACTGACAAGAATGGACCTTCTCTTGCCATGTTGCTGCATTCCTCCTCCAACCAATCGTTATATTGCACCATTCCAGCCATTACCGTATCTGCACCTTTCATCAACAAACTAATCTCATCACTCGTCTCGTCCTAAATATTTATGTAATTGTTACTAACAAAATAAAGTAATGCTGCACTTTCGCGATGTTCAAATGATGTTCAAACTTACAGTCGTTACTAGACCAATGACCGACCTTAACGATGATTCCCATTCGTTTTGTTTCAGATGTGAATGGAAATAAGTGGAGAATTTGGAAACTTTTTGTTCGACCATTTGAAAGTTGCAGTTGCATTGAAGCGAGGTCACGCTGTGCTAGCCGAACACCCACTTGCTCCGTCCACCGAACCAGAGCAACCTGCAACACTCTTCCTTAATAGCAACATAATTTTATTCTCTACGACCTCACAGAACACTGAAAACAGAACCTCATCAGGACTGGCAGCCTGGTAACTAATTTGTTCATTTTCTTCTGTTGGCGTTACGTTGTGACAAAGCGCAATCGCCTCTACTGCCGTCTGCAACTTACTAGAAAATGAGTGACGACCCAGCTTCCCAGAATAAGCTGACAAAACATGTCGAGATACATCCTGAAAAAAATTCTATGAAACGATGAATTTTGTTTATACCCACCCTTCAATTCTATCGTCTCTAAAACATCAACAAGAATACCTCGAAAGCATCGCTGCTGAACGCCACTGTTCCTAGGTGGATCTTCTTGAAGCGCATTTCATTCATTGTTAATGTTCCCGTCTTGTCAGATAATAAGAATGAAATTCGGCCAAGTTCTTCAGGAATGGTGCTACTGCGCACAACGGTATCTACAAATTTGAAACAATAAAAAACCGACAATTTGTCGGGTATTCCCTCACTAAAGAAAAAAAACAAATAAACGTGATGACCTTTGATGTGACGGTCTCTCCCGATTTGCCAAGAATAAAAGAGCTTAGCCATGTCCAAATTGACACGCAGTGATATCGGGATTATATATGAGAATAGCAGAATGAATCTCATCAAATACCGGTACCTGGAACAGGTTTTTTCAGCAATTACATAACAATAACACAAATAAATCCTGATCAAAAGAAATGATTGCAGAATAGGTTACCAATTCTTATCCAATCCCTTCATGGCGACCATAACAGAAGCTAGCACGACCACGAACAAAAATAATATCTTGGTTAAGTTATTAACCTAAAATTAAAAAAAGTGAAAATTCTCTAAACTAATTACAACATTTCAAAGAAGTCTTTAACGTAATTCATTACTGAAACACTGTTTAACAACTAAATCGATATAAGAGGATTTGACCTCGATATCGAGTAATCCAACTTTACTTTCCGGCAAAGTGGTATTCATGACAGATCTGGTTTCACGACCAGTATACACAACAACACCCACTACACGACCACTAGCAAGCACCGTATTAGCCCAAAGAACATTTTCGACGTTTAACGATCCGTCCTGTATTGAATCCTCTGAACTTATCTGAAAATTTTGGAATATATCGTTTTTGATGCCTTCAACAAGCTCATCTCCAACAAGTTCTATTCTAGTACTAATATGAACAAATTCAGATAGAAAATCTTGATTGATCAAAAAAAAAAATGTACACAATCACACCTTGAAAGTACCCACGAAATCGTGAATATCCTTTTGTGGTTTTTCGGCATAAATTTCCAGATTAAGGTCGAATATGTCCTGAAATGGGATGAGATTAGATTCCATATTAAACAAAGCGAAGGTATGGAGCATAAAGAAACGTACCTGATCCGAAACAAGATTTTGAGTAACAGGAACAGCAATCCGTAACTTCCAATCAGTTTCACCATCTAATTGGTCAGTTCTAATAAAGGAGGCTCCCGATTTCTCAGTAGTTCGTAAGAACACTACATCTGCAGGTACACGCTTGTCCTTCTGTATAATAATCAGATCACCGACTTTGATATTCCTGCAAATGAAGCAGTAAGACTCGATTCATACCAAAAAAAAAAATTTTTATTCTTTCTAACATCTCAACCGGATCTGCAAAGAATTGATTAACCACAGTCAGAAGAAAAAAAAAAAAACTTAACGAGCTCGATATATAATCTATGCCTTGTGGTGTTAGCTTTTCATACTTCTCACTATTTAGTTCTCGATCTCTCAAGAAGCGAACAAAATCATCCATAGCTTCGCGAATCAGTGTTACTGTTAGCACAAAACCCTAAAACCTGGACAGTTACTCCGTGACATTATTTATGAGTACAAAATGCTTACCAGTGGTCCCCAATAAGTGATCGGTGCTCCAATCTGAATTGCTGGAATAAATTGACTGCAAGCCATCAGCAGAAAGTAAAGATTCAGGAAGAACTTGAACTGTTGAAAAAGAACCTATAAAACTGTTTATAAAAGCAGAGGAAACTTGAAACATTGCATATCACTGCATATGCTGGAATATTATAATGTCGAACCAAAGGGACGAAGGTAAACATGTTGTATTTCTGATTACACACTGTATTGGGAGGAAACGAATGCGCCGAACCCAGTACCGGCCCATGACCAACTCTTATTGTTCGAGAATGCAATGTACGTCGTCGACGGAGGAAATTCCAGCAGCATCTGAAGCCATATCAGTATTCGGAAGAACAGATCTCACAGAACATTGTTTGTTAAGGTGGAAATTTCACCTTAGTGGCAAATTTTCTTTTCATTTATAAATACTATAAACACAAATGTCTGCTGTAGAACTATGGTCGGGCATTGCTCATAGTTCAAGCTTTTCTACAGTTAAAGAAAGAAGTTATAATCCTACGCTATGACAATGACTGGAAACAATAAGATTTTATCAGATTCAGAAATTCGTAGGTGCATTCTTGGAAAAAACCTGAACATGATGGTGTCGAAAAATCCCGCAAAACGATTCACTGTGGAGGATGGCGGGATACTTGCTAGAGGCAACAGTAAGATGTCGTCTCTGCTGGTACTTGCAACCGATTCGCTCATCAGTGGCTGAGACTCCTCGAATCGTACTTTCGTTTCCGCTGCTCCACATCCACGACTATAGCGCATCCACTGCGTCGCAATATTGTCTTCAGCCTATGGCACCTCCACTACTTACTTCCGGTAAATGTCACTTGCCAAAGAAGAAACACGTGCTGCAAAAATTAAATCATCGTACTAGATTCCTATCTCACTTCCTCACTTCCTTACGTCGACCTCCATCTGCCCAAAGTTAGCAGACAAACCAAACAACCCCTCTCTCCTCCCCGATTCGCCGTGAGAAGTGCATGACAATGATTCGCTTCAAACCAAGCTCAACATGCAAACACCCACAACGAAGGGGATATTCTGATAACATTTCGGCAGATACATTCTTTTTTCAAGAGGTTTGATCATCTCTATGATGGTCAGTCACACCTTCTGCCACTCTATAATAATGGCATCAGTACGACGGCTAATTGGGTCATCTCTGGTAAACACCGACTTATGCCGATTTTTACCTACATGTTCATGGGTGTGTAACAAAAATGTTTGGTGTAGATTTGTTAGGTACAACCCAGCGGCAAAAAATATGCTAATTGCAGATCAATCATGAAAAGATAGGCTTGTTTCGAAAAATTTTGGATACACTTTGATGTTTCCTCTCCATTTCCCATTCTTAGTATGGGTTGGTCAAGAAAAGGAGGAAGTATGTTAAAACATAAGGTATTTGTTGCACAGAGTATTTCTTAGGTAAAAATTCATCATATTACCTTAAAAAAATATAAAACATTTTCCCATATCTAATGTAATGAGTTAGTTATTTAATCTTCAAATCGTCTAAAAATATTTATTTTGTCTGATGGTGAAATTTGCATACATCCGGTAACTAATTTGTAAAGGTTTTATCCTATATACAAATCTTAGATACAGCTGTGAGAATGCTGTACAACAATTGGTAAAACAATTTCTATGCAATTTCCTTTTTACATATATTGAAAACGAACTAATATGCAAATTTCTCTTGCATCTATGAAATTACTGTCAGCTTTGTAAAAACCTTATAGGGAGCTATTCTCATATTGTAATCCACACTCATTTGTTTCAATATAAAGGATTCATTGTTGACTCACTAAAAAAGAGATACGCATCCATCTCTGCAAGGGAATTTTAAATCACCGATCCAATTTGTTATTCTGCTCCGTTATTGTTTTACTCCCTCAAAATTCATTTCAATCTATTCCTCGGGACTGAAGTGACGATTGTATCTCATTCGCGTTAATTTCTATTTTGTTAACAAGGACTAGCTGTATTCCT